GTCAAGAGTAGCTTAGACCAGAAATTACTTGAGATCCTTACCTAGGGGTGGCCTGTGCGTGAACAAAAAACCTGTAAGGCTTTTGCATCTCATTTCTTTTTGGTAGCAGCTTGATTTTTATTTTTTCCCATCCTTTATCTTTTGGGCTTCCCTGAAATCAGATTGTGCATCATCCTGCAAGAGCAGGGCTCTGTCTTTTAGAAAAGATGAATTTTAAAGTTGGGGTAGCTCTCTCCACCCCACTGGGATGGAGAAAGCCTACTGGTAATGGAGTCCCACCACTCTCCCCAAATGTTCCTAAGCCTCCAGGTATGTAAGCAAGGCCTCCACCTCATTCAGCAAAGGAAGCCCTGTGCCTTTAAATGCCCTCCCTATGGCCGTGCACACTTTTCTGCTTATTCTGAGCTGACAGGTTTAACATGTCGTTTGCCTGGTCACCGGAGAGAGGCACCTCTGGCAAAAGTTCAGAAGTCAGTGTTTTGGAAAGATTGGTTTGACCAGCTCTGAAGCGAGAGCAAATCCCAGACCAAAGGCAGTCAAATCTTCAACGACATTTAACCGCTGTGGTGCTGTAGCTTGCTGACATCCTTTTAACCTGGAGAGGAGTGTTCAGCGCACTTAAACCTTCAATTTTATTTATTGTTTCTTTTCTGCTTTGTTGGCAGGAGAAACTTGGGGTGAAGACAGGATGTTTTGACTTAATTCTAGTTAATTAATTAGCTTGCATCTTGTTCTGGCCCAAGATTACAGAACAGACAGCAATTTTTGATCTTGCCTTGGTATCTAGACTTCTATAATATATAGTGTTGCAATAAGGATATATATTACCTTATTGCCTCTGCAGGGCTTGTTATTGAAATGATCTTAAGATTCACCACATCTTGTTTTGTAAAATTGCCACGTCACAAACTTCTTCTCCTCCCTTGATATTTACATTGAAGGGTAACAATTTCTTAAAAACAAGAAAACAAACAAGAGCATGCAAACAGTTAATAGCAAGTGGTGCCCAAATTACATATTTCTTAAACTCGTGGCCTACTTTACTAATCAGTTGTCATAAGATGTCAGATGGGGACCCATCACTGAAGAATTGTAGAATGCAGCCAGTGAAGCAACTAATTAGTTGGGCAGTGGCATGGAGGTGTGTGTCCCCAAGGAGCTGAAATGATCAGAGCAGGTGAAGAAAGTTTGGACAGATCAGTATCTCTGTGGTATAAAACCCAACACTTGGCTGAATTCACAGGGATGCTGAGGGCGAGGGCACCACGGGTCCTCCTTGGGGACATGCATGGTGGGGGACTGCAGCACCACTGCTTCCAGAAAGAAACGCAAGTCAGCTCAACGCTTGGAGGAGCATGACCTGAGATGTGCAGGGATTAGAATAGTTGAGCAGTTTCTGATTCCATCTGGGAGAGCTGTAGCTCCCTGGCTTATTTGCCAACTCATTCCCAAAACTTTTGCTTCCCGGTCACGGCAGGAGTCGGCATTGGTCATTCTCTGTGGGCACCAGACAGGCCACCCTTCACTCCCTTCTGCACTCCCTTCAGGCAGGTGATGGTGATTGAGCCAGCAGAGCAGAGGAACCATTGCCCCCAATGCAGCTGGGAGCAAAACAGGAACAAACATAAGAACCTCTCTTGTGCACTACAAGATGTAAAAGACTTAACACTTACAAGTTTCCCATATACTCCTTTAACACTAATTGTTTTAAAAGTGCTGTGTGACTTTCTTCCCTTTTCCCTTTATCCCGCCCCAATACAGGTGCACCCCTGCTTCACTTATGGAATTCTGTCTTCCTATTCAAACTCCACAGGTGCAGCAGTGAAACAAATCCTCTCCAAAACTCCTCCAAAGGATGAGCCCCATTCCTCTGTGGGACCTGGGTGTGGGTCAGTGTGGGACACCAGGAACCCCTCACATTAGCAAGTCACTCTCTTTCTCAGCAAAAATGAGGATCTCAGTTCTTGCCCCTTCTCATAGGGTAAGCTCAAACCCAGGTATTTGATTTGGGATCTTTAGTGCAACAAGTCCTCAGGAGAAAATCTTCTTTTGGTGCTTTGATTTCCAAATGTTATGGTGCACTGCAAGAAGAGTCACACAAGATTGATGCATTATGTATTAGAAGTATTTAGCTCTCTTGCTGTACAGATTAAGAATGGTCATGTCACAGGAATTATCAGGAAATTTCCAGACCTGGAGGTCATTTTTGAGCCTTGCTCTACCAAGGGCTTGATTCAGTGCAATTGAATTCACTGAATTCAATTCACTACTACCAAATGCAACAATCCAGTGCGCAGCCTGGACCCACAGTTTCAGGACTGACAAAACCCAGGGGAAAGGATGTTGGAGGACATTATGATCATATCAGCAAGTCTGGCAGACAAGTCTGGAGGACGCCTTGCACAGGTAGTGTGGACCACATGCCCTGGCAGAACGACACTCAGCAAGCCCACACAAATGCTGTCTGGAGCTGTAAAAGTAAAAAGACACCAGTTCCTTCCATCCTGTTGAATTCAGGCAAGGTACTTACTTGAGGGACAGATTCTTGGTTCCAAAAAAGCTGCTTTGACCTTTGAGCTGCCAAATTCCTTCCCCCATTACCTCCCATCTTTCTTTCTAGTGTTGCACAGCTACTCTGAGTCATTGTTTATCTAATTTAATTAACATTTGCTAGTGCCTGCAACCTAAAACACTGTCTTAAAACATTTGCTTGAAAAGCTTCCTTGTCCCAGAGCTGTCATTTTTAACATGATGGATAATGGATAGAAATAATTATCCTGAACAAGGTTAGACAGCTTAAATGATTTGAGTTTCAAGGAATTAGTAAGCTTAGCTAAACATCTTATTTTTCAAGACACATTAATAATGAAAACACAGCAATGTCCATAATGGATTTTTAAATCTGTTCTCTACTAAATTTTTTGTGATCTCTCACAGGTTCAACACCTTCATCTAGGAAGGTTTAAATCAGCACATCATCTCATACATGGAATCACAGGATATCCTGATTTGGAAGGTGCCCACAAGGATCATCAAGTCCAAGTCCTGGCCCTACACAGGACATCCCAAAGAATCACATCATCTGTCACCATGTACATCATCAACCCCTGCATTGAAAGGACTTTTGAACCCCAGATAAGATGCTTCCAAGGCTGTGGAGAGCTGGTGTCCAGCTTAACTGGCCCAAGTGGGAGGGCAGTGCATACATGGGTCGTGGGAGGACCTGGATTCGTAGAAAGTCCCCAGAACAGCTCTGGAACAGGCCAGAAGAAATCAGAAGGCAGAGACTTGGTACAAACAGAGTGAGCTATTTCAGCTTTACAAATATATAAAGCAGAGTGGAATTGGGCTCACTGCCTCTGTATTATTTCCCTAGTCCATAATTTTGGGGAAAATAGAAGTTTTAGATTACTCATTGACCTTTAGCTTTGAAGAAAAACAGAACTTTGGCATTGAAATTGCCAAAAAATAAGAGTAACAGTTTGCAATTGCTTAATTTCCCTCCTAGAAAGCCAGGTGCAGCCAGGCCTCCTGGCTTTGCACTGCGCAGAAGTGAGCTCTCCTCCAGGGACACTCAATCCAAGGCAGACAAAGAAAACATGGAGAAAAACAAGCACCTGGCAGAGAAATGCCAAGCCACAGGCAACAGGACATGGGAATGTCCCCTTCCTGCCCTGCTCATTGCACTGTGACACTTTTCAAATAATGACCCTCCTGCACCAGGCAAGATGCACAGACCTGATGTTGTTCCCTTTGGTTTGGAGCAGAACTACCCACACATCCCTCATGAACCCACCCCAGCAGCAGAGTCTGGGTTATAGGCTCCTGCAGTCTAAATTGCATCAATATGATGGAGATTTTTACATAAGATAGATTTTTGTTTTTCTTTAATTCTCATTCTACAAGTTTTACATTGCTGGGGCCTTTTTAAATAAAAATCCCCATTAAAAAAAAAAGTCCCTTTTAACTTCTGAAAGCAAAGGAAAATTTTCTTGGAAAATTTACCCACTTGGTAAAATCCAGAGTTTTGCTTTGACCCTCACTTTTTACATTTTTAGATTTCTTTTTTAAAGATTCTGCATTGGTGTAGAACGATTTAAAATTCTTCCAGCAAAGTGTAGTTTTATTGCTCCAGAGGCAGCATAAAGCTGAATGGGTGGCTGTATTTCAGGCGAGGAGCTGTGGGAGAGTGCAGCTTGCAAGTGGCAATAGAACCCAGAAATTGAACTCTAGCCTTTCTATTCAGTGCTCTTTTTATTATTAAGTCACGGAATAAGTAAAATGTTACAGGGACACTTTAAATCTACACTTGTTTGTACAGCATCCAATGAATATGTGATGGGGAAAGAAAATGAAAAATGTGGGGATGTTGAAAATAAGGAAAAGATTGGATGCTGTAGAATCAAGTGTGGTAAACTATGATACAGTTAAATCTGTAATTTTAACGTGAAATGAAGCAACACAGCTTTAGTGCATTCTCATGGTTGTGGGGTGGTTTTGGGGTAGATACTCCCTCCTTGCTCAGAGGATGGGACATCTTTGTGAGACACAGCTTTAGTGCATTCTCATGGTTGTGGGGTAGATCCTCCTTACTCAGAGGATGGGACATCTTTGTGACATCACAGAAGGCAGCAATGGCCAGGAGCTGCCTCAGCTGTAGCAAAAAAATGTTATTTTATTATTGAAGCTCCCTTTTGTTTTGATTGTTTTTCAGACTTGAAACAAAACTGTCCAGAACTGATTTGCACAGAACTTTTGATCATGCTTGTGAAAGTTTTGTCACAGGTGGCAGAGACAGGTGAGAGTGTGGAGCCATCATTCACACCAGTATCAAGGTAGGATATGAGACAGGTTTGGATGGAGGATGCCTGCAGGCTGCCATTAGCACCTCTTAATGATCTGAAGCCTAAATGTCTGGTTGATGGCTCTAATTTATGCTAATGAGCCTTGCTTTGTTTTTAAGGGGCAAGAAGGTTCATCTGGAGCTGGCTAAGATTCACCTGCGGGGCTACAGATTGTTGTTGCTCCTTCTAGAGTAAGACAGTGCCGATGACCCACCACCAGAATTTACCCATTGTTTTCCACTGGGATCCAGCCTTGCTGAGTTTTTTGGGTAAGTATCCCTATCCTGACAAGTGTTAGCACCTCCCAGCATGGGAAAGGCAGGAAGAGGCAAGGGAGTGTGACCACTTTTCCAGGCAAGGACAATGAAAACCATTCCTAACACTGGCACCATACAGGCTGCAATTTTGAGAAGTAGCTTGCAATTTTGAAGTCCTTAGTTGTGCTTTTGTAACCCAGAATAGGCAATAAAATACAAATATTGCTCCTATTCATGTCCCTGAGCAGGATGGAAGAAAAACCTGAAAAAGACATTTCCTTGTGTTCTGGGCTGACAGGGACCACAGATTTATTTATGTTTCTCACCAGTCTAAACCAGCTCCCTGGGGGCCACCACTGGCACTGGAACTCCTATGCTCCTATAGTCATCTAGTTGTGCTGGCCTCATGACTGGAACGTCATGGTGATTGCTCCAGTGGGAGGATGTGGGAATCTCTAGGCCAAATATGTTGGAAATGAATGGCAATGGCAGATTCTCCTGCTGTTATTTCTTACCTTGTTTTAGATGTGGTATAAATGTTCCAAATTCCCTGTAATTGTCTTTCTCCTACTTTGAGAAAACAGCACAGTGTTAAATATGGTTTCCTGACAGTGTTTTTAACATGCAGTAGTGGGACAGATGAAAACACTAAGGAGCTTTTCCTGTGTTTTTGTGCCTCAGATGAGGAGCAAGTGACCGATGATCTGCCCCATAATTTCTAGTGTTGTAAATAACCACAGTTTGTGTTTTCTGTGTATCAGAGATGGGTGAGTCAAATGGCAGAGAGCACTGAACACAGTCCCATGGCAAGGAGATCCTCCTGTGTACCATGGATTAAATCCTGCAGCCTAAAATGTGATTCCAAAGTTGTCAGTGGATTCTTGTTCCAGACTTTATGGTACCCAAGACTGTTGCAGTGCTGCAGTGGGGTGTTGAGCAGCCACAAGAAAACCAAATCTGAGGGGTGAGAAAAGCCAGGTGTACACAAACCCTATGGGTGGCAAAGATACTCATCCACAAACATTCCCCATGGAGCAAGAGGAGAGCCAGCTCTGCCTTTTTATCAAAACCAGGAATCAGAAGAAAGGAACCACAACCCACACGAGGTATCTGCTCCTGGGGTTTTCCTTCCTGTAGCACAGTTGGGTTTCTGGTGCCATTTGTTCCCTGAACTTGTGGCTGTGTAACATGAGGCAGAGCATTCATTATTGGGGAGCCACAACTGAGAGATGGATAATATGGTTGGGTGCCAAGTGTTAGCCTTGGCCCTGTGTAACTATCATGTTGGTAACCTGAGTTAAATTGCTCGTGGCAAAACCAAGAGATTGGTTTTCCTTAGCAACCACTTTGTAACTGCAGAGTGAGTCCAACACAAGCAGTAGTAAAATATCATAATATAGGTACTTTTTTATAGTTACCAGGTCATTCTTGGAGATATATATGTAGTTATAATGAATGTGTTGCCTCTGTGTGCTGGGTGGCTGTGAGAAGCTGGGCTTTGGGGCATGAAGTAGCTGCAGCCTCCTTCATTGCTGGAGTTCAGGGGGTGTAACAGCCTCTGCTCACACTTTTTGGTTGGGAGGAAGAACTGCTTTGTCCCCTGTCTTTGTTGCCTGGCCAGTTCTTGGCACACCTGTGTCATCTCCTTGCATCTGATGGAACCTTTGCTTCTTGCCTGCCCCATGACTGTATGAGTGGGGCAGTTGTGGTTGTCCTGCTGGGATTTTGGCCAAACACCATGGCAGAAAGTGCTCTTAAACACATTAGGCAGCACTAGGGAGCACAGGCATGAGCACATAAAAACTGCTGCTAATACAGATATATTTTTAATAGATGAAATGCAGAATGGTTGTGGTGGGTGTTCTTTGGTCATGTACTGGCTCTTCAGCCTAGTGCATGATGTATAGAGCAGATTTCTGGGTGTTTGGGGTTTTTTAATTGAAGAAAAAGGAAATTTTCATGTGAAAATGTCAAATTTACTATGGAAAAATCCTATGGGGGTAATCAAAATGCAGCAGTGTGTTCTGGGATCACACCAATGTGCCAAAGTCCAGCAGCTACAGCTGGATGTCCTGATCTGAGAACATCACAGTGTTCCATTGTATGTCCCATCCAACATAAACAGTTGTGACTTGATTTTTCTTCTGTAAGAAAATCTCAGTGCTTCAACATTTGGCTGAAAACAAATACCAGTTAATGTTCTTTATGTTTATTAAATAGGAAATCAGTGAGTAAGAAAGAGAGTGTGAAAAATGTTCTATAATAATTTCAGATTTTGTTGATAATGACACAGATCCTTGCCCCAAAATTTTAAATTCAAGCAACTAGCCAACTTATGCAATATTTAGAAAATGTGTGATCTTCTGATTATTCCAGTGGAAAATGTTTAGGAATTTGCAGAGCAGTCTCTGTGGTGATTTAGATGTAGGGATTCATTCAAGCATCTGCTTAGGTCCTGTTGATGCTGTAAGACCTAAATCCCATTCCTAAACAGCAGCACTTTCCCAGGTGAGGATTCAGGTTGGAAAACAGACCCTGTTGGGTCAGTTTCAAGCTTTTCTCACAACCACAACTACACTGGGGTAGATGTCCAGGGGGACGGAGTAATTTCCCCAAACATCTTCTGTTCCCTGCAGCTGGATCCAGTCTTGGCTGTGAGTTGGACACAGTCCTCATGGTTTAGGAAGTGGTTCCTGTAAACCCAGAGCAAGGCTAATTTCAGGTTATTAGAGTTTTGGCTCTCAAAGCTTAGTTTCTCACTCTGCTCTCTACTCAAACCCTGGCAGGTGAGTTTGTGAGGTTATTCCTTGTGCAAACATGGAGAATCATTGAATCCTACAAAACTGCCCCACTGTTTGACTGGGGGAAGTTGGGTAGGACGCTTGCCACTGTCTCTCTGCAGAGTCTTCAATGATTTTCAAAGGACAGTTGACTTTTTCTAAATTTAAAATGTATTTCTATGGAAACTGGAAGGCTAGAAGAATGATTTGAGAAAGTTTCATGCCTAATGGCAGCCCAGATAATGGCAGTAGACAGCCACACGATGTGTAGGATATAGAATCATAGGATCCTCACATGGTTTGGGTTGGAAAGAACCTTAAAGATCTTCTAGGGGGAAAACTTTCTATGAGAACTGGTTGCTCCAAGCCTGAACCAGCCTGGCCTTGTACATTTCCAGGGATGTGTCATCTGCACATCCACTTCTCTGGGCTACTTTGCCTGGGCCTCACTATCCTCATAGGGAAGAATTTCTTCCTAACATCTCACCTAAACCTTCCCTCTTTCAGTTTGAAGACATTCCCCCTTATCCTGTCACTATAATTCCTAATGAAGGAATGTCATCCAGACTATGATATCCCCATCAACCTAAACAGTTGAGCTGCAGGTGTGTGCAGGTGGAACAGAGGATGTGTCCAGCATTCTCCACTCGGCCTGCACATTCTGTGCATGGGATCATGGGCAATCACAGCCCCGGGTGCTGGGAAATAACTTGAGCAAACTGGAACCAGGGGACAGGAATGGGATGTGATCAAAGCACCTGGAGGAGCAAAGCCTGTGCAGCACTTGGTGCAAAAACTGCAGCATGCCCTTGTCTGGGCACAGAGGTCGGTGGTGGTGCAGTGCTCCCACAGCAGCGCCTGCATGGAGGCTATTTCCGACTCCCATAAAAATCTTTATGTCTCTGTGATCAGGATTCGGTGATGCAAATTTGCTGTGTCAAAGGAAGATGCCGCTGTAAATGAATTAGTACAAGAAGAACTTCTTATTTAAGAAGTGCTGACTCTGCGCTCTCCCCTATGCCCTCGCTTTTAAAATTGAAGGCTGGGTTTGCTGCTTGCTATGATCTATATTTAGATACTTATAAATGAAGTTTTGCAGTCATATGGCTGCATTCTTGTGCAGCTTCATGAAGCTGTTTTTTCGCATTACAGAGATTTATACATTTGCGTTTACATATTGCAGGTGTTTCCATAAAAGCTCAGGGTAGACACATTCAGCATGGCCTGAAAGAAAATGAAGAAGTTCTTAAAATGTTACTGAGCACACTTTAAAATATCATCCTGGGGCAGAAGAATGAAGTCACTGCACGAACAAGGGAACACAAACAGGTAGGATTAATGGATGTGGACTTTTCAGGGGCACATCTCCCTACAGAGGGTTTAGTTGTGCAGGAGAAGGACAGCATCCCTTTTGGGATGTATCTTGTGCAATGCTCCCAGTAAACTGCTGGGCCCCCAGCAGAATATTTCAAAATGTCAGAGAGTGCTGCAGTGCTGAGCTCATGCTCTGTAAGTGATAGCCTGATGAATTATGTGCTGTACACACTACACACAAATCCTGTCCCAACCAGCCCTGGAAGAGGAGATAGCACTCTTGCTGGTGTGTCCTCTGCTCCAGGAACCTTGCCAGGAGGACACACCATAATTCATGCTCTGCTGATGCTTTATAAAAGTTGCAGCCTGTACTTTGGCTGCTGTGCTGCTGACCCCAGCATCCATGTCAGCCTGCAGCCCCTCCATGCCTGGCGGATGACCGCAGTTCCCTGTGCCTGTCCTGGGAAGGCTAATGCACCAACTGACCCTTCAGCTGGCACAGGCAATGCAGGCAGGCAGTCCTGCCTTGCTTGGCCTCTGCACCACATCCCACCAAAGGTCAGGGCTCTCCCTGCTTTCAGGCAACCCCCAGCTTTGCCCTCAGGGCTGCAAAAGCCTACAGCTCCATGAAGAAAACAAGGTGGGAACTCATAGGGTTTCTCCTTAACCTAAGAACCCCTTTAATCTCTTCTGAGTTACAGCTACCAAAAGCAAGGGATTATCAGAACTTGATTTATTCTGGTTTGGGGCTCACCATAAAGCTGTAATGCAGAATCTTCCATGAGGAAGTGCCTGAGAAACATGAAGTTTCCTGCGGGGAAGGAGCAGACTAACAGTATGGGATGATGGGGGAATTTCATGCAAAGCTAAAACACTCCTGAAACATTGAAGGGGAATGGCAGGAGTTTGTGCAAGAATGGTGAGAAGGAGTTTGGCTGTGGGGAAGAGTGGTTTCTTCCATTCTTCATCCCCTTTTCCATGGTGAGTTGTGAGCCTAGACTAAGGAAGACACAGTTCAAACTGTGTTCTGTGGACAGGGCAAGGCAAGGTGCAACACAGGCAAGGGGGGATGCCAGGTGGGCAAGCAGGGTCAGGAGCAGCCTGGCAGGTGACTGTCCAGGCCAACACACCCAGAGGTGCCAGTCTGACCTTTTTTGAGACTTTTGCCTTTTCAGAGACTTCTTGGGGTGCTAAAAATCTCAAATTTCCTGGGGCCACAGACCAGGCCGGGTGCTGGCCCAAATGTGGGTCAAGAGTGACACCCTGTGGACAACTTACTCTTTTTCGTAACCTTACAGGATTTCTCGCCGGATCCTTTTCGTCTGCCTCTTTATTCCCCCTCCCCAGAGTTTTCCTGTCCTAACTCTCCTCCTTTCCCAGCCCAGGTGTTGCCGCTTCGAGCCCCGCGATGCTCAGGGACCGGCGTAATCCCATCGCCTTAAAAGTGCTGACTATGGGGATGAGACCGAATTTCCCGAATTCCCTTTTGTTCCTCTTTGCTTTCCCCCCACTTTTTATAGTTGTTTTCCCCAATTTATACTGGGTTTCGGCCCTGCAGCTCAGCGAGGGGCAGCGGCTCCTGCCCCGCCGCGGTCCCCCGGCTCCGCGGCCGCGCAGCTCCGCAGCCGGAGCCGGGTGCGCTCCTGGGGCTCGTAAATCTACTGCCTGCTCGCAAAATTTGGCAACTATGAACCCGGGCTGTCTGTTAAACCGAGGGGGAAACGGCGTGGGCTTCCCCCTCAGCAATTTTCCGTGTCCTCCATAGCTCCACAAGCCACCCCCTGGAGTGAGAATTCCTGTTCAAACACTAAAACACCTCCAAAAAAAGAGTGTTTCAAGAATTGCTTCTCTTCTGGTCACTCTAATGCTCCCTTTCCAATCCTGGTGCTGGATTTGCACTGTGCTGTCCTGATTTTTTGTGGTGTTATTCCCAAGAAGTGTCCCAGAACAGGCTGATTGACACCAGCTGACAACCTGGAGAGGGTACAGCTCTATTTTAAGCAACAAATAATTTAGTTTTATATTGGTGAGAAAATCCTCATCAGTCATTTAATTATGCAGATCTAAAAGAAACCATAACGTCTTGGCACACCTGAATGCTGGGAGTGGGAAAGAGAGGGGTGTCAAATCCTTCCAAGAGCTTCTGTCCTTTCTTATCCCTGGCAGTTTAACCCTGCCAAGACTGTGCAGATCAGAATATCCATATATCCAAAACAGAGCCTGGATGGAGATTCCTGAATGTCCGCAAAAGCAGCAAATAAAACAGCAGTAATTCTTTCCAATGACATTTATATGCTGCCATTAACTCTGCTTTAGCTGGTGTAGTTTAAGGCTTTTAGAAAACATTAAATAACTACTGTAGGTTTCTGCTGAGAGGAGCTGCAAATTTTGTCTGGACTCCTACACAGATTGTCTGCCATTTTTCTTTGTATTCAAAATCCTGGAGAGGAAGAGGTATCCCAGAACAAAAAGTGATATTTTTATGTCCTTATGTCATTCCCAGCATTTTCTAGGCCTGAGCATTTGCATCACATCAGGTGAAAAGAGTAAGATCTCTTGTCCAGCTTGGGCATGCTATAAGAAATAAGAAGTAGAAAAGCTTTATAAAACATCTGCATTGTTCTGGGAACTTCCTAGAGAACATCAGAACTGGAAAGATCCACCAGGTAAAGAATGTGGGAAAAGCAGAGGAAGAGCGGGTTGGTTGATTGGACAATGAAGGTTGAGAAAAAGAGAGATAGGAGAACCCAAAGTGAGTGCAGGAAGCCATGTGCCATCTCCAAGATGTGGTAAGGCTGAAAAATTCCCTTTTCTTTTTTATGAACCACAGCCACACCTTGATGGGAAACATTTCATCCCAAGCTCTGCCTCCTTGGTTCAGGTTAGGCCACTCTGCCTACAGAAAGGTGTTTTCTTGTAGCCCTTTCAGTGTCACAGGGGGACAGTACAGCCCTTGACATGGCAAGGTGATACAGTGGTGAGGTGACTGCAATCCACAGGAAATCTATGGCTTGAAATCTCCGTCATTGTATTGGATGGTCTTGCTAAAGATGTGCAGCCCAAAGTCTGCCTTGCACCAGGAAGCTGGGGGGAGCAGCCCAGCTACAACAGCTCTTGGCAGAGTTAGAAACAGGGTCAGGCCATGAGGGCCCAGCTTGGAATTCAAATTTGGTCTACTTGAGGTAAATAAAATAACTGCACTGCCTAGTTTGCAAAGGATCATTTACTTTTCTGGAAAGGAGAGTATGTTTTTGGAAAGTGTACAGGCATCTTTCAGGATGAAGGGCTCTGTGTGCAACAATCAAGTTTTTACCTTTGATTAGCAAAGCTTTATAAAGAATTTCAATTCTGAATTACTAAACAAAGAAACTATACAAGCCCCAGATGAGATTTAAACAGTTTCCAAAAGACATTTTTAAAAAAGAGAAAAATACTGAGCCACATGTTTTTTCTTATGTCTCTTGAGTCCATTTATTCCAGACATCTGACATGCAATTCAAATTTCCAATAGTTTTAGGTAACCATGTCCAATTTAGAAACCACAGCCCTCAGCTAAGCCTACCTACCTCCCAAATCAATCCAGAAACCAGAGCACTTGCTGATATTCTTCACTTTCAGCCTTGCAGAGCTTTGTTATATGTGTGCTATACATACTTGGGTTGAGTTTTCTGGCTCCGTGCAGTCCATTTAGATACATTTCATAAACCTGCAGTCAGTGGTCACAGACAGATAAATTATAGCTCCTAATGCAGAGCCTGTTCATGCTTTCAAAGAGTAAAACCACTATAAAATTGATCTGCTCCTTTGAGGTGCCTTTGACAGTGGTGCTTGTACGGCAGCTCGGATGAGACGGAAGCAAAGGGCTCCCTGCGGACGAAGAACTAATGAGTTTTATTTCTGGCTCTGAGACTCGGGCTCATTCTTAACCTTTCTGTGCCTGAGAGTTTGTACCTCAAAAGTGGAGGTAAAGCAAGGGCTTTTTGATAGGCAAAGCCAAACTACAATGGAAACCCCAAATTCAAATATGGGTGGATATGTCCTGCTGTGTGTCCTTTCCTAACTGCCTGCCGAAACCTCCTTGGTGAGGATTTGATTGTGGTTGGAAGGAGGTAAGTTTGGCAAGAGTTGCATTAGGTGATGGTTTCCACACCACCCTTCTCACCTCAGTCCCTAAAACCTGGCTCAGCCATCCCCATAGACCCCAGCACTCTGACTGAGCTCATCAATCAGGACATGCAGAGGCTGACATCAAAAATCCTTCCTGCCAATGCCCCAAGGAAAGAGTAGATGGTCAGGTAGAACTTCCAGGAGAGCTTGGTTGAACAAAAATTATGGAACAGGTTCTCTACTGCTCTCAACATCAGAAGAGACTTATCAACCTCCAGCAACGAATCCTGTTTGGCTGCAAGTGGCCATCATTTCATCCTGTAATCCCTCATTCATCTTATTTATTTTTAGCTTTCCAGTCCTCTTTCCAGAGGGAGCACTTGTATGCACTCACAAACTCTGCTATTGGGCAAAAAATAGGATTTGAATCAAATTTATTGCTGTTAATTCCTTTCATAGACATCATGAATCAGAAGGGGCAGCTAGAGGTGATGAAATGCCTGTTCATCCACAGCCTTTGACACCACTAATCAGAGAAGGGGCCAGCAGTGGAGCTGGTCCCTGGTAGGATTTAGGGGCTGGGAACATGGGAAAGCAAAGAAGAGAGTTGGAAAAATCTCTGGATGATTTTGTTGTTCCTTTCAGTTTTCCTGAGCATGTCCCTCATTCTCCTTCCTGCAGAGATGATCTGAGCAGAATTTCCCTCCTTAAAAATAAAAGGAATGAACGAGACAATAGAATGAATCAAGGCATTCTCAGCTGACGCCTGGTTTGGGGTAATATTTATGTCCTTTGAAACCTGTGGTGCCAAAATTGTAACAGCCCCACTGACTTGGGAGGATAACCCTGATTTTAAGGACAATCTCTGCAGAATGCAATGTATTT